AAGCAGCACTGCCCTTGCTTATCCCAGGAAAATCACGGTTTTAAAGTTAATCACCTCCCACTGTACTGGGACAGCCTCTGGCCTGGTGGATTCTCCATGGCACAACTGTGTGATCTTTTTCACTTTTAACTTATGCCACAGCTCAAACCCAGGGCCACATAAAAGCTAATAGAGGCCAGCCCTCTGTCACCAAGGAGTACCCTCCAGATTCTACTAAACAGTGACAGAATCTGGCAAGACCTGGCCTAAATTATTGACAGTTTGTTTTATTTTTGCAATCTGGATTAGTCTTATCTAGTTGAGTCGATATGATCACACGGTATGAGATTTTGGCTTTATTTTTCTAGTATGGAATTATAGTTGTTGGCCTGGGGACAGGCAAGTAAAAGGTGATTAAAAGTAACATGTTAACCTTTATAAATGCCCAACTTTCTGGAGCTACCCAGATTAGAAAGAGGCTGTGGCTGAGCCATAGCTACCCGTGTGTACATTCCAGGCTAGGGGAGCTCAGAGGCTCACATGAATGGTTGGAGGAACTATTACCAACATGAAAGGATTTAGGGGACACACAAACATTCTGCACATAGGAGTCATTTTTAGAAATGGAGTAGTAATTTCTTTGCAAACTGAGTTGTTAGCAGTCTTTGGTTGTGCTTGCCTCCTGAAGCCCATGGAATGGCTTTGTTGAGGCATGAGCACCAGTGGCTTCCGTTTTGTGGGACCAAACAAGGTGTATTGCGGGTGTTCTTGTTAGACCATCATTCAGAGACCCTAAGCCTGCTCCTGCGCCTCACAACCCCAAGTCCTTTCTTCTCTTCGATAGGTATAGGTTCCTTGTTGTGCCTCACCTGAGTTGTATATACAAGAAGGCCTTGTAAAGGGGTCCCAGCCGCTGAAGGTGCACAGGCACACTCCCCAGTGCTGCCTTCTGGGTGTATGGACCGTTTTCTACTTGCGTTAGATCGTCACAGCACTGAAGTTTAAGTCTGCACCTGGTTTGTGGTTAACAAGGAGGGGTGTCCACTTAACTACAATGTTGCAAGACTGGATCCTTGTGTATTGACACAACGCGGGTAAGGAGATGAAAAGGGAAGCTAGCTGTCTGTGGCGTTAAACTGGTTAGAGGCATTTTCATTTTGAGAGACACTGTTGAAGATGCACACTTGCGCTGCAGTTGACTTGCTCCGTCTGGTCTTTGTAGAGTCTAATCTACAATGGAGACAGAGAACCCTCTCATTAAAAACAGATTTATGAAGGCTGGGATTTTTTTGTGGTACAACTGCATGGTAGCTGGGTTTGGCCAAGAGGTAGCCCTTGGTGCCAATTGGAGGAAAATGCTTATTGACCCAAACTTAGACTCCGTTGGACAAGTGGTTTCTTTTGCCTTTAATTCCAGATGGTTTTCTTTTTAGTTTAATGTCAGAGTGGGTAATTATAAAATGTGTTGATCTTTCATTTTTGTCCCTTTCTTGAGTCTCTTTGACACTGCCATGAAACAGTGTCCCACAAAAGCTGTCTTACCTAAACATCTCTTTGGCTTACTTGTGTTATTGCCTGCTTCTTTCAGGGCTGCTGTGTTGTGTTTTAGGGCCTGCAGTAGATGCCTGATGAGTCGAGAATACCAACCAGGTCTTTGTTTTTCCTCAGCATCATTATTCACCTTCCTGATCAAAGGAGGGACTTTTGGCTTTTCTCTGAGGTAACCAAATTGCCAATGTTGTGATCCTTGATGTTTGACCATCAAGCAAATTGTTGGAACACATGGATTTCAATTGTCTATCAAAATCTAGTTACTGAGTAACTAATGCTCAGGTGGCATATACAGTGTGGATACACCAGACAGCAGGATGGTTCCAGCCCTAGCTACAGGCTGCAGGGTGGCATGGGATTTTGTCATGCTGCCACCCAGAACCATGTGCAGGAAGGCTATTATAAGTTAAATTTCACTTCAACCGAATACAGTTTTCAGGATGTTTTTATCTCTGGGTTGGGATTTGTTTGGCCTGGTGTTTTCTGGTTCTCTGCTGTGAGGTTGGACTTCATGCTGCTGCCCCTCCATGAAAAGGAGCCGCCCCCACCCTGCTCCCACAGCCAGACAGGGTTTCTCTTTGTAACAGCTCTGGCTGTCCTGGAACTCACTGCAGACCAGGCTAGCCTTGAACTCCCAGAGATCTACTTTCTCTTGACTTTCAATTTTATTGGCATTTGTTCTCTCTACCTTAGGCCAACTTCTACAAAGTGCCAACACCAAACCCAAAGCTGGTAGAGCAGGTCCTAGCAGATTCCCTGTGTCTGTCTTAGACATGGTGACATACAGCGAATGCCTTCCCCACTCCACAAGCAAGGGGACAACCTCATGAGGTCATTCTGTAGCTGACCTATGGCTTTCCTCCTCCTAGGATTCAAGTTGTGATTTCAGCAAAGAAAGAGTAGAACCACAGCACTTTTTTTTTTCTTTTTCTTTTTTTCCTCCTTTTCCTTCCCTAGGTATACTTTGTATTTTTGTTGAACATTTTGACTAATGATATCAATAGATGACTATTAGCTAGATGATTATGACTTGCGAATGAGGACTTACTTAAAGGACAAGCTTGGGGTTTTTTTTTTTGTAACAAACTCAAGAGGGTTTGTTATCTGTGATTGATGCTTGGGAGCCCAGAACCAGTATAACTAGTGCAGTGTGGGCATTATTGGTGTGGACACATGCCTGAAGCCACTGTGCATAGCTCCTTTATACGGCATGTTTTGTGCCTGACATTTGTACAGTAGCTGTGTTAGTCTTCATAACTAGCTTGCTTCTTGGAAAGGAAAAGAAAAATGTCTTTCATAATTTTTTTTTTTTTTTTTTAAGCAAAAGTATTGTAAGAGGTGGTAGTAGCTATCTGTTGTCACTGCCTCCAGTCTGGGCAATACTTTAACTAGCTGGACCACAAGTCTATATTCACTGCTGATGTTATGGGTGCGTACCTCCATTCAGGGTCTGCCCTGGACCCCACAGAAGAGCCCCAGAAAAGCCAGGCATAAGAATCAGTCACAGTAGTAAGACACAGACATTTGTGTAAGCTGTTGGCTGATCTCTGATTGCATGATCAAGATTCTGCTTATCAATTTTTCAAGAAGCCGTCTAATTATACAAATTAAAATTCAAAGGAAAGCAAAAAGAATGATTACGCCTCACTGGAGGAGGAGGGTGCAAAGCTCATCTTGCCGCTGATCATAACGCTGGCGGTTTCTCCATTGCACTTGACAAAAATGAACTCGGCCTTTGGATAAGACAGACAACGAGGCTTGTGCATTTATGCCAGGAGGTTCCACACTGTAGTGTGGACATCAGAGCCTCAGCAAAGTAAAAAGGCTAGCCACAGGCTCTGTGTGTGGTGAATTGGGTAACATTCCTGTGCATTTATCGCTGGCATAGGTCTTGGTCCTTCTATCCCATCTCCATTTTCCTGGAGTTAGGGGCTTGCTCACACACACAGCTACCTTTATGAAAGCCCAGCAAACAACAGTGACACTAAACGTTCTGTGTCCATGTGGTGACTGGCTTATTTTAGGTAGCTGCTTGTGTTAGAGTCTGGTGGCCTTTGGATACTGTGGTCATTATTTATATGGTTAGAAACTGCTTTTTCCTATCTGACCCTCAAATTCACATAATTATTGCTATAAATCTTTAGGATGCCTTATGAGCCTCATTGCTGGGAAATTGGCCATTAATTACCAAGAACCTGCCTACCTTTCACTAGTCAGTCCTGTGCCTGGACCTTTGATAAAGTAACTCCTGGCATTCGGCATAATTGATGCCCATCCGCCGCCAGAGTTCTCACTTTAATCCCCGAGCTTTACTTTTCCACCGTCTCTTTTCTCTGTCTGCTAGCTGAGAATAGCTGTGTGTGCATGTGTGTGTACGTGTATTGCTGTTAGATTTAAAACAACACCGGGTTTGATGTTCTGCAATGAGGAACTGAAAACCATCGAATGAGTCCCTGCTGCTCTCACAATGACTGACAGACTGAAGTTCTGAAGGAGAGACTCCTTAGTGCCTGGCTTGTAGTTTATGAGCTGGTGTTTAAAGAGAAGAGGGGGTACTTTGGTTCCAGGCAACTGTGGTCCGTCCAGGTCTCCTGTCCTGATCCTGAGTCATCACAGGATCCTCAGCCAGAACTACAGTCCAGGAATGTGGGAGTAAATGCAAGATCAGCCATCAACAGCCCCCTCTGCATTTAAGAAAGGTTCTAGAAGGTGGCACGGGCAAGCCCATTTTGACACAGTGTAGCAGGGAGCTTGTGTTGTGCTATGCTTGTGCTGTGCTGCCACACGTTGTGTTTTGGTGCCTGGCCCCTTTGAGTCCATCATGGAAAGGAAGCGCTTTTGAAAAGTACCCAGCAGAGGCCTAGAGAGAGCCTCTGGGGATGTAGTCACAGTGGTGTGTGGGTACCCCCATGCAGTTATATTGCAGGACCCCCAGCCTGGTGTTCCAGAGCTGTTTGTGAGGGGTGAGGCTGTCTCTTTGGTGGTGTAGCACTTTTGTGGTCCAAAGAAATAAATGGCAGAACCAGCCAGCTGTGTCTTGGTCTCTGGCCTTGGAGTTGAAATAATAATAGTAGAGGTTGGTCTGTAATTGGTGTCCATAGCCGAGAAGCCCATACACCGATGTTTGCTGTTTTCAGCAATGTGTGTGGCAAGTGTCCCCCTGCCCGCTTGCTTTCTGAAGGATGCAAGGTAGTGAACAGGAGTTGGGTGAGGCTCACGTGAAGCAGCCACCACCCATGTTTTGGGAGGAAAGCAAGCACCGTGTGCCAGAGCAGCAGGTTCCCTCTTAGAAAGTGGTAGGAAGTCACGAATGACCTTGTGTCCTGGAGGTCTCCAGAGAGTTAAGGATTCTTTTCTCCTTGTTTCAGGGTTCATAGTGGCGCAATGCACGCAAACTCCTGCGAGTTCCCCTAAGTTCTTAGCGGACTGCTTTGCCTTTTGAATCAGAGAGTTGCAAAGTTCGATAAAGAATGGCCCTTGTGGATAAGCACAGAGTCAAGCGACAGCGATTGGACAGAATTTGTGAAGGTAAGAGCCAGCATGGCTGGAGGGTTTTCATGAAAGATACGCAGCCCCTCACGAAGATCCCCTCCAACCTGCTCATTTGAGATAGCTGGGCCTGGCTGTGTCACACTGACAGTAGGGCCTCCAGATTCTCTTCCTGCACCTTACCTTTTAAGGCACTGGCTACACAGTGTCCTTAGCTAGTCCTTTGGCTTTAGACAGGGCCTGGCTTGTGTGGGGGTTGGGCAGAAAGTGAGGGAGGGCTGTAGGCTGTGAGGTGCCTTTCTTCCATATACCTAGGGTTATTTTGCATATGAAAGACACCACATTATCAGGGCCAGCTTTTTTAACTTCCTGAAGTTTCTAGACTTTATCTGTTTTCCATTAAGATATTTACAACAATGAATTCCAAGATATTTCTGAGGAGCCCCCTCTTGCCCCTCTTGATGTTTTCAAGTCCTCTGTATCTTTGAAAATGTCTGGAAGTGTTTTATTCATGAAAGGGAAAATAAACATAATTAAAATCTAATGGAAACCTGGGGATAAAAACTGAAACATTGATTAAGCACTGTCCTTCCATAATTAGTAGCAAAGAACCCCTAGCCTGCAACTCGTGGATTTATATAGACTGTGTCAGCCCAGAATCCTTGCTTCAGGGTTAGCTTGGTCTGGGGGTTATTGGAAGTTGTTTGCAGGGCTAGCCTTGGTTCTTAGTAGTATGGTAGGTGCATTCCCTATTGAGTCTGTAACAGAGGGTGCACATGCAGTGACTGCCCTACCAGCTTACAGCAGGCACACACCCCCACACTCCTTCCCCTGCAGCCACCCATATGGAATTGCTTGTCTTTTAAATAGATGTAGCTCAAGCCACATGGGATGGGGACATCAAAGCCATTCTGCTTGAGACAGCCCTTGAGCACTCTGTGCAAAGTATGCAAGAACTCCAACCCCAGCCAACCAAGACCCTTGGGTTCTGCTATAGTTTATGGAACTTGGCATTTAACCGGCTTTTAAAAGTAAACATTAAAGATACTAAATTTCTTCTATTGGTCTCTGACAACACGTTTAAAACCCTATAGAAAGATTGACGGACTACTGTCATGAATGCCAGTATTTTATTTTTTCAACTGCGTTTACTAATGTAACATTTGATCACTTTTTATGAGGTATAAGTGTGTGTGTGTGTGTGTGTGTGTGTGGTTTGCTGTGTGAACTGTTTCCAGAAACATCTGAAACAAGCTTGTAGATGGCAGGCTTGTAGTGGTTTCCTGTCACCACCCCATGGCATGTGTCTCCTGTTAGGATAGTTTTCTACATAACCACAATAGCATAATCATTCCCTAAGATACCATCCGATACAAATTACATGTTTGCGTCTCCCACATGGGTCTGTTTGTAGATATCTTGTTTTTATCATGTCTGTTTGTGTAGTCATCTGGGGTTGCCCATTGCATTTGAGTGTAATATCTCCTTAGTTTGAAGAGAGTCTCATATAATAACCTGGCCTTTTATAGACTTTGGGAGTATTGTTGTGATAGAAGATTTGAGGCTTAGTGGCTCACAGAATAGTCTACAACTTGAACTCTCCTGATTATAGAAATTGACTGACTTCTAGCAGAAAGGGGCTTAATGGAGGGTGGTTGCTGAATCCTCTCTCCAGAAAGCCTTAGGGAGCCAACTTGGCAAGGTTAGCATCTGGGAAAACTCCACCCATAACTCTGCCACTAAAGATGACAAATCAGAAACAAGGACAAGAGTGAGGAGCTTTTACAACTCAACAGACCAGACTTGAGCCAGCCAATTGATCATGTCCTCTGTCCCGATCATCATTCACCAACGTTCTCACTCATCCCTGTATCTGTGACCAAGGCTGGTTCATAATGGAAAGTTCAGTTGCATCTTTGTCTAAATGTGCATGAATGGTCTTGCAGAATCAGGAGTAATTGTATTTCCAGGTTCGCCCGGTGTAGCCGTTTGTGATCCTATTTGCCCAATGTCTAAGGAAGTCACAGCTGTTGAGGGTGTGAACTGAATGTCCCTGTTATGCCTGTCAGTGGTCTGGCCCATTTTATTAATTACCTGGTGATTTGTGCCTGGTTCCCAAGACAGCTACTTTTTCTTTAGTCATTCCCAGAACTCGGCTCTCAAGACCAAAGGCCTTGTACAGCTACCACACAGCACACACATAGCTTTGCATTCTCATTATGTCTGTTTAGCATAGATTTCCAGAGAGCCTGTCCAGCTATTCTGCCCTACTCCACCCCAAGGATAATTCCTCTGTGTCTCTTAGGGGCATTGGGTTGGTTGATTGTCGCTTGGTTTGTTATTTTTTGAAATAAGGTTTTGCTGTGTATACCGGGCTGTCCTTGAGCAATCCTCTTTACTCATGTTCTTTAGTACTGGGTTTTATTGGTGTGTGCCACCACATCTGGCTTAGTTTTGTTTTTAATTGATTGAATGCATATATCTTGGGTTTTGGAGAGATACCTTCTGCTGGTTTCAAACAGTGCTAACAACCTCTAAATCTCTTCGGTCACACACCTGTTTGGGATCCCTTGCCAGAGTTGGGTAAGACTCTGTCAGTTGGGTAAGACTCTGTCAGTGCCATAGGAGCTGGTCAGATAAAATCTTAGCTTTATTCTTGTGAGAATTCTTCCCCCAGAACTCTGCTCTGAACCCTGTGATCTCTCTGGGAAGTCTGCCTGTGTTGCTCAGAGTTAATGCCAGTGACCATGTCTTGAAGCTCCATCTTTCTTTATACCCGAACATGGAATGTGGGCCTTCACTCTCACATACATACCCAGAAGACATCTCTGCTCCATGTTGAGGGGGCAGTCAAAGTCATCGGGACTCCATCCAAATCAACAAGAATAATAAAATCTTTGAGGCCAACTTAAAAGCCAGATTTGAATGTGCTTTTGTAATCGACCCTTTTTGATATCTGTAATTTGTTCTCTGCTGGTTTTCTTGATGCTTGCTCTCAGACAATCCTGGAGTACGTTGTATGGAATAATTATGGAACAGCCTTTGATCACATGGGCTGTTCATCCCTAGATTGCAACCTGCTTTCCTTCTGATGTATAATTTAGGTGCTGGCTTTCTTCTTTCTGGTTTGCTGACATAATTGATGCAGTCCATTTGTGGATTATACGAACGTGTGGATTTGAATACCCTTTTGGATCATGCCAGGGCTAGTTGGTTTTCCCCAAATATTTGTGGTTGGGTCACAGACCAGGCATGCTGTCACTCAGCCTTACCAAGCGGACCCAGGATTTGGGTTTGTAGGACTGTAGAACTCCACTGCAGCTTTGCCCATGACCTTTGTTAGGCCATCTTACAATGGATGTGGGCAGAATCCCACACCCTGGATACATTCCTTTCCTATAGCTGTTGAGGGTGTGATTTGAAAAACAATATAACGAAGTATGTATTATACTTCATTGTGTTCAAGTGTTTCTTTAGAAATGTGGAAAACGGTTCCAAGAATGGTACCAGCTGAGTTATGAGAAGCTAAACAAATGCATAAATAACTAAATACAAGGAAGTGCTATGAACTGCTTTTACATAAAAGTTCTGATCAACACCCCTCCCCTCCAGTTTCATGAGCAGAAAAGAAAAGAAAGAAGTGTGGCCTTTCTGTGTCTACTTGGCCACCAAAGACACAGTACTGTAGATGTGGGACAGCTTGCTTTTAGAGGTAGTGTTTTCCGCTCTGATTTGGATCTGTTTGCCACTGTGAAGTACCTCAGCACATTCCCCAAGAAGGTGCTTGTGTGGTCTTCCCATCCCTAAGATGTTTCTGGATTGTTGAGGGAACCTGAGTAGCAAAATGCCCAAACCTAGCTGAGGGCCTGGTAGGCTAATGGGACTTCTCTAGCTGCTGGCACTGCCTAGCAGGGCCCATCAGAGCCCACACCACCTATACAAGGACCTTATTTGAATTTCTGCATCCAAGATGCTGTTTGGTTTCACCTGTCCTTTTGTAATTGAATGCAATATGCATTTGTGTTTTGTTGGTTTTTGCATAGAAGCAGGCTTGAACCCTATACCCCTGATCATTTGTAATAAGCTGTCTTTCAAAGGCCCCCAAACCTACATCTTAAAAATGGGATTCATAATGTTGCTATACATTTTAATTATATGTTGAGATCAGGCAATTATGCACATTTCCAGTAATTAAGTGATTAGCTGCAATTACTTTAGCTGTGTAAATAAATATACAATAGTCAACTAGATGTGACTCAAAACTCTACAATACAAACAAATGTCCCAGATAATGCTCCACATTGTAAAGAAATGCTCACACAGGAAAACCAAAGCAATAATCTGCATGCAATAAAAACCCCGTTTTGTCTTATTTAAGTCAATGAATTGGAGCAGTGACCCTGCCTGTGGAGTCCAATCTCCCTGTTCACTGGTACCTGGGGAGTATAGGGTCATCGTCTTGTCTGCTCCCGGCCAGGCCTTCACTTGCAGCTAAGAATCAAGTTGCATGCTGAATTCACTCTCCCTTAATCATTGGTCCAGGACAAATGCAACTGTCTCTTTGTAATGACTTGTCAATTTGCTCCTGATGGCTCACTGTCTGTGCTCATCACATCTCTAGTTGAATGTAGGCAGCTTAGATTTTGCCCTGGGGCTCCGGGTATATGGTGCCATAGGAGACCCTGGCAGGGGATACACTGCTGTTTTCTGGTTTGGTTTTTTTTGGTCATAGCCCACATTTTGGGGGCTTTGTCAGGTCCAGCTAACTTTTCTGGTCTGTACCTGAGAAGGGGGAGTGCGGATTGAGGAAAGGAATAGGCAAGAGACGAGATAAAGTCGGCAGGGCATCTCCAGTGAATTCTAGGGGGAACGTCCCAAGTTTATTACACAACAGTCCTTATATACCCCAATCAAAAGTGGGGAAAGATAGAAAGACTTACTTGTCAAGATACAAAGAACAAGCAAGTATAATTAGCCTCTCAATACCCAAAACATCAAGTAACCACACCCTAAATCAAATATCCAGTTCTTTAGGTAAG